CTTTATCTAAGCTAACTCTTAATCTTAGCTTATACCTATACTTAGCATTCTCCTTTTAAAAGTTTAGCTAGCTAGCTATTCTTATAACCCTAGCATCTAGATTAAGGAGTAATAAATTGTCTAGGTTAATTAATCCCTTAATRTTATAGAAGATGCCTTTTYCTTCTAGGTTGTCCCTCTATAGTTTAAACTATCTTTTCYAGTTCTCTCTTATTAGGATTAGAATCCTAATATAGGTCTAACTGTCCTTCTYTTCCTCTATTTTAGTATATAAATAGCTTAGTCCTACTAAGGCTTTAGTAGTRAAGTAAAGGGTRTRTRTRTGTTTTAAGGCTTTAGATTTAGAGTCCTCTACTCCTTATAGCTATTAGAYAATCCYTTAGTCCTAATAGTTAAATGTTCTAAACCCTTAGGAACTAATCTATCTTCTATGTTTTCTTCTTATCTAACCTACTATTAAAACTCCTAGTAGTATAAAATAGGGTACTAGAAACTAGTATCCTTTTTATATTAGCTTTATAAGGTAGGAGAAACCTTTACTACTTTAAGGTTAAGGTCTTTTTCCTTCGGCAAACCCGGGCTTATAACCTATTAAATATTAGTCGGAGGTTCGCAGATTTTTAGGGGTAGAGTAAAAGAGTATCTTAATCTTTAACTAGCTTACTATCTCCGATAGGCAGTACTTAAAAGTAGGAACTAATATGTTAATTTTGTTTATTATCTAGAGATRTGTCTCTATCTCCTAAGAAGAGATTTTACCCTATATAGAGTTATATAACCTTATAGCTACTTAGCTCTCTATTATGTTAGATGTACAGCTATTCTATAACTGCACTTTCTAACACTATCTAGTTATCCTTAATTATTACTAAAAGCGCTATTATCTATTACTATACTACTATAATAACCTTAATTAATAATAATAATTTATCGATATTATTAAGCTATCGATCTACCGAGTTTCGAGATATTCGCGCTATATTTATACTACGAAATAAGCCTAACTCGTAGACAGTTAATCCTAGAACCTAGCTAGTTAGTAGTAGCGCTAGCGCTATGCTAACTACGAAGGCTAACCTTATTCGGTACGGCTAACCCTTATACGTACGGAAGAAAGCGGCTCGTAGGTAGCGAGCTATAGATATCTAGGGATATATAAGGGAAAGAGCGGCGTATAAAGAGAGAGTAAATAAATATAACTAGCGTTAGTAGAGGTGTTCGGTATATCCGTATTTAACGGTTATACTACGATAGGCTCGTATCTACCTTAAGAAGAATTATAGTATTATTTCTATCGAGGGCGCCTTTATATAGTAAAAGGCGAAGGATATATCTATTCGCGGTACCTTTAGGAAGTAGTAGCTCCTTAATTAAGAATAACGAGATAAGCGTAATAAGCATATCCTTTATAATACGCTAGATAAGAAGGGGATTATAAAGGCTATTATCTAGCTTATTACTCGCCGTAACCTACCTTATTTAATAGTAGAGTAGCCTAAGTTCTACGTAGTAGCTACTTCCTTTAACTCTAAGGCTCTACTACTTATTAATAGCTTATATACGATAGTAAGCCGTCGTATTAAGTCGTTAATAATATATTATAAATACGCGCTAGTTCGATATATACGGCTAGCCTTTAGTAAGATAAGCCTTACTATAAATAGCTAGACCGGTCTATAGGGCTATAAGAAGGAGTACCTTAGTATAAATGCTTACTTTATCGATTACCGCGGAGTTGTTCGAAAGGCGCTTCTTAGACTACTAGAGCTAACTTACGGTTACGTAGGTATAGAGGTTACTACTYACGTTATCCGTATTCTTAGAGAGTATAATATCTATTAAAACCTCGGTACGGTTACCGTAGATAACGCCTCTACTATAGATACTACCTACGTCGCTATTAAGGGCCTCTTTTAACGAGAGGATCTACTAATTTACTAGTCCGTAGTTAATAACCGGCTTTACTACTTTAGCTATATTATTAATATCGTATAGGGTGCATTTCTAAAGGCTAAGGATAAGGGACGCTATTTAGATAGTAATTAAGATAGCTAAGGAATAGAACGAGCTACTTAAGTCGATAATTAAATAGCTCTTAATACTTAATAACAATACGGATAGATAGTAAACTATAGTTCTAATATAGAAGCTATATTAACTTACGAAGGTACTTAGACTATAGGCCGCTTTTAAGCGCTTTATTAAGCTATCCGGCAGCCTTATATTATTACGGCCTAGCGACACTCGCTAGTATACGTAGTTAGATATAATTAAGAGGGCGTTTTAACTAAAGCTAGCTATTAACCGCTTTATTAATAAGGATAGTAGTCTATACTACTTAACGTTATTACGCGAAGAATAGCAATTACTTAACGATACGCTTTAGTTCTTAATACCGTTTAAAGAGGCCTATAAGGACTATAAGAGTAACGATATAATACTTAAGTTCGTTTAAATAACTATAGACATCCTTAGTAAGTACTTCGAGAACTCTCGCTATAAGCACGCTAATAACGAGAGCTTAATAGCGTCTATTAATACCGTATAGTTCGCTTTTAATAAGTACTACGTAAAGGTAGACGAGATACCGCTTAATATAGCCGCTATTCTGCTCTATCTAAGCTACCGTAAATAATACCTTACTAAGTACTAGAAGCTAACTTAGCGTAACGAAGGTATAAGGCGAGCTCGTAAGCTATAGCTATAATATAAAATAATACCGCTTCGTAAGAGCTTAGCTATTAAGTAGCTAACTAAGCTACTACTACTACCGGCTAGTTACTCGAATAGTAATAAAGAGCCGAGTTTTTATCGGCTATAGCGGCTCTAGCGTAAGCGATAGCGTATAGAGGTTAGTAATAAGTTTAATTACTTTATTAAGTAAGCTCTAGTACCGGTTAACGACGTTTTCGTATAGTAGCTAGCCYCTAAGTAATAGGCTATCTATCTATACCTCTCGGTAATAGTAATTAACGTTCTTTTATTATAGGTAATGTCCGCTAAAGTAGAGCGTATCTTCTTAATAGCTAGAAGGACAATATTATAGGACCGTATATTACTAAATAAGGATACGGTTAAAGCTACCGAGCTTCTAAAGAGCTAGTAATAACATAGCTACCTTAACTAATACGATAACGGCTCTAGTAGTAAGGAGGATTCGAGTAATAAGGAGGACTACTTAATAAGCGGAGCGCTTAATAACATACCGCTTAAGAACACGCTAAGCGGCATACTAAGGACGATAAATAGCTCGTTTATTAAGGGCTAACTACTTATTTAGAAGCGGATATATATAATACTTAGAGTAATAGCAATAACACTTAATTTAATACTATTTATTCAGCTGTATGCGGCCGCCAAGGCTCTCTTTATAAGGCTTTAGTAATGTAATATAAGAGCGTACGCTTATTATAAGATAACAGGTAAGGAGCCTTCACTAATAAGAACCTCATATCGACAGGTCTGTCTCTTTTAACGCTGTCTCTTTCTGAGATTGAGTTGCAAGGCGTGACGCCCGAATCAGATCCGGCAAGAACACTTGGGGGTAGAGGATCGACGGTGAGGACGTCCCTCGGTTTGTTTCACGGCATTTCTTTAGGGATAGCTAGAGAAGGAAGCAGGCCTGAAGCTGGAAACCGCGAGTAGAGCTCTCAGTTTCAGAAATCATTGATAAGGGCAGCGCCTACAAATTCTCTTTCCTCCGAATGATCGAGCGCTTTGCTTATGACAAGATCTTTAGTAGGTAGCGCTAAACTTGTCGATCATGTAGATAGGACAGTGTCAAGGTGATTAAGGGTGCTTTGTCTCACTGAAGAGAGCTCATGTCGACTGCCCTGACCGCGAGCTCCTCGCCATTCAAAACTCGGACTTCTACCGGAAGATCCTTGCCAAAAGTTGAGCAGGTTGAACATTCCATAGCGGATAGGATAGCACTGCTTTCTACATGCTCCGACAGTTTGGAACACTAACAGATGTCAAAAGTCTCCGTCTTCGCCAGGAGTTGATCTTCCGATAAACTGCGGATGTATTCGCCCTGTTGGAGAATGGTCAGCATACGTACAATGGTCCTTCTTGTGACGCCAGACGACACTTACATGCATCACACCCGAAACATAGATCGCTCCCAGCAAAGCAAACCTGTCACCCTTCGGCCTCAATATCACTGGCACATTGACGCCCAACAAGATGACCACGACATCTCCAGGGAGTATATTGTCGTATCCCATCCCGAATCTCCCTTCAGATATTTTCAAGTGCCTGAAACGAGGTGCTCGCCCAGCGACGTTCTCGACAAAGTCAACGATGCTGCCTGTATTGCCCTCTTGGGCGAAAGCAGGGAGTACAAAATTTTCTCGATCCTGTTCCGAATGAAGCTCCCAGCCTTTATACATCATGGCACCAAAATCTCGTATCAACTTGGTGTTGTCATCATCAATGTCCGAATAGCCACCAATGGTCAATGAGTCGGCCACGGCGACGATCGTCTCTCTGCTACTATGCTCATCGATGAACTCAGGAGCCCACAAATACGAAAAGTGTCTCGCTACTTCTGTAGAGTCCCAATTATTACTCTCCACTCGAGTCGTAWGCAGCTTGTTCTGGATCAAAGGTTCAAAGGCCAACTCGACCGTCCCGATGCGTAAACCTCTGAGATGTAACAGGCCCGCGGACGGTGTGGACCTTATCATGGGAGCTGGCAGTCCATTATGCGTGTTGCATCCAATACCAGTGACTGGGGTCAGCAACCCCGCATCACCCCAGCTCATGTTTTCCATATSCAGACGTGGAACCCAGGYCGGCCAGTGCTCTTTTCCATCCGGACCTGTTGAGTAGCCGACACGATTCATGACCGACATCTGTTCGAGCAGAAGCAGCGAGTTCTCCGACTCCATGATCATCGCAGCGGCCGCCGTGTATCTCGCGCTTAGCGGCTTGTCATAGCTCTGCGCAATGAATCCCCGAACGGCCTCCTCCTCTGGTCTGATTCCAAGTAAGCCATAGATCCTGTCTTCCTGCTTTGTCACACCTCGAGATATGGTGGATACCAAGAGACGGGAAAGCTGCACCCTTCCGCGCATCTTTACCTTCGCCATCATCACCGCAGGAAGAAGATACTTGGCGTTAAAGGCGTCAGGCATGACATCTCGATGTGTATTCCAAGCCCAATATGCAACGGCAGCAAAGTCGTCCCAGGAGAACGTATGGCGGCCACAAAAGACATTGGCTTGACCCGGCCGAGCGAGCACGATCTCTTGGATGGTCCAGACTCGTGTGAACTACAAGTTACAAGTAAGCATATGACTGAACGCAATGTTCCCGAGAGAAATAGTACCCAAGGAACAGCCAAAATGGTTCTCAAAGCTTCCCAATCACATCCTGTAGGAGTTGGAAGATCTCCATTTGGCGGTGTGGCCATCTCTCCATGTTGTAGAAACCACGCCTCTTTCTCCGTCTTCAGAGCGTTCAGCGAATGCAGCGCAGCAGCGGTATGAATACCAGCAGAGCCCAACCAAATACAGACGGCTTGAGCACAGCTGTACAGACGCGCCATCAAAGACAGTTGCTTTTCTTTCTCAGCAACATCCTGCTGATTGATACAGATGGCATCAATCCATATTGGCACATTCGCATCCCCAGCACCCCGTTCGAAAGCTGTAATGAGCCCTCTTAGAGCCGCTTCTGAGCTGTGTGGAACTTCGGCTTCGTGGCCGTCAAGTATAATTTCCGCGACCTCTGGCACAGTGCCCCAGCTGTAAGATACAGCGTAGAAAGGCGCGCCAATGTCATCGGGGCCCGAAGGACAACGAACAGTGATGAATTCGAAGCAGAGACTCGCAGACGCCAGTAATTGGGACGTTCCCTTGTACTTTAGTAATCTGATCTCATTGCTTGGATCGTCAAGTGGACGGTATTGGTAAATCGATGTTGGAGCGATGGCCTTGAATGCATCCGCTGTGAAGGGRCCGATCTTGGGTGGATCCCTGGAGCCATTCATCTCGTATAATTATTGTTGAGAAGCAAACAGTTGCAAGAGACAACATGGACTTATATGTCAGGCGGCTGTAAAGAGGCCAGGCTCTCTGCCAAGCCCGCCTTCACCTTCTTGGGCATAGTACACCTTCCCTTTTGGGCAATGTTGAAGAAGCGCGAGGCTGCAGCCTTCTATGCAAGAGCGAATTCTAGCCGCCATGGTTCCGATTGCGACAAATGCGTGCTGTTTTCGCATGTTTATGACATTAAATGCAGCCGACTACCTATCATCTCGCATCAGCGCAGGTTCATAGCGAGGCTCATCCTCGTCGCCGCCTAGGTCTCTCGACCTCTTCCATCTCCGGTCTTCCTAAATCTCTCTCTCTTTGTTGAGCTCTGCCATCTGTCCTTCTCTCTCTCCCGGTAGCTTGATCTGCCCGCCTCTCCGGGGCAGCCTCAATTGGCGTACTGACTGGGGCAATAACAGCAGCCTCCCTTGCTTCTCTGACCTCCTTCAAGCTCAGGCCCAGCGCACTCGCATACTCGCCGAAACTAAGCACGATCTGCTCAAGACTCTGCTTGAGGATGAACAAGACTTGCGCAACTTCTGCCCTTTCGATCGATATCCTCGGATGCTCGACGTCGCTCCAATGCGGTCTGGCCTCTCTCACAAACTTCTCCATCAAAACCACAGTAGCAGTCAAAGTCCTGACAACCTCTGCCACATCTTTCTGTACAGAGCCAAACTGATCTTCTTGAAGGGAGAATATGATCAGGCTCTCCAAAATCTTCACAGCATGAATCAGGTTCCCCTTTCCACTCTCACCTTGGCCAAATACTGCACTGCACAACTTTCTGCCAAGTGTCTGCCGGAAAGGAGCGCCCAGGGGAGTCTCCAAAAACTGTATGAGGTACTGTCTTGGTAGGAATCTCTCCAACAGTATGGAGCCGTTGGCCGCAGTGGCATCAGCCAAGCGCTGCTGGTCTTTCTTAGACAGGACAGCGTCCGCGGTCCACTGAATGGCTTTCCTCGCGTGCGGCGAGACTGGGTTTGCCGCACCGGGGCTCTGTCCGATTGACTTGGTCAAGTTGCCAACTGACGCACGGAAGTCAGGTGTGCGTTTAGCGAACACATCGGCATTGGTGAGGACTCCTTGATCCGCAATCTTTCTCAGTCCAGATGTTTCCTCCTCTGAATTTACCGTCAACTCTTCACGCAGTCTCTTCATTTCCGCCTCGGCTTGTAGCTTCGCCTGGTACGCGGTTGGATCACTTGCTGCGTCAACTCGAGCTTGCACGGCTGAGATTTCCGCAAGACAAAGCTTGCAGATTTGTGACCATGTGTTACCACCCGCACGGTCTACTTCTGTGTAGATGCTTTTTCTTCGTGTCTCGAAATCAGTGCAGATGATATACAGCTCCCAAAATGCAAACCCTTTGGGCACAGGTTTCTTGCTCTTCAAACCAGTCAACAGGCTTCCGTTGGGATCCCGACTCCGGTGGACAACCGCTCCTCGAGAGTCTTTGATCTCGCTTGTGAGTGGCTCCCCCTTCTTCAATGGCGGCTGTGCCACAATAGCGCCGAAGGCAGCATTGGAGATTTCCCATAGCAATATCAGCATGATTGAAGTATAGATAGCCTGGCCCATCAGCGTTGGGAAGTACACGATTCCTGTAGGCGGCGCTGAGTCCGGAAGCTGGCCTAAGAAAGCCTTGACGAGGACGTATGTCCATTTCCAGGCTGTCTGACGGACGAGTAGGTAGTATACAGGAAAGTGAACAATGAAGATGCAGCCTATCGCGAGCTTCAGAGTCCGGTTCAAGATGGCACCGCTTTGCTCCGTGATTGCGCGAACCGCCAATGGGAGCCTTTCGATCATGTTCTCCGGGATTCCGAGATATACCACGAAAGGGTTGGTCCTCTTCACCTCGCCCTCATCCGTGTGAAGCTCCACGAGATCATAGTCGCGCAGAAGATGTAGTCCAGCTTGAACAAGGCCTAGCACCCAAAACAGGCATCGCAGGAATATGGGGTTCTCGTTCAACCGCGGCCTCTCGTATTCCTGTCCAAGGTCCAAATTTCCTAGCTCCTTACTTGCGCCTTTGCGACTCCAGATGAAAWCCTCGACGAAGAACGCGGCGCTCCAGACATACCATCCAGCCGTATGAAGGACGCTTCCAACCCCACTGATGCCGGCAAAGCGACCGAGAAAAGCAGCACTCTCACTGCAAGCCACGTGCTTCCCAACGTGCATGTTGGCCACGCGTACAATGAAGACGGCAAGACATGGCATGAAGAGCAATAGTGCGCGGAGGCCAGTGGGTCCTAGCGGAAACCATGACCACAGCAGACCAGCGCGGGAAAAGGACAAGAATGACGACGATAAGAACGTGGCATCGGCCCAGCAGAGGACGAGGGAGACGGCGGCGGCATTGACAAAGCGGCGGTGCAATGCCGGTGTGAGGAACTCTTTGTAGAGTCGAATTCGCGGGGTGGGCGCAGAGGTTGGCGCTTCGCGTTTCATCGTCTGGTTCGTGGACGGTGCAAAGATGTTGACCGGAGGACGCTGGGCCAGCGTGGTCTGCGTATTCGTGGCCATGTTCTGGGAGTTATCCGAGCATTGTTGTGGTGAGCTGGTGAGCTTGTTTGGGTGCTGCGCTTAAATTTATGAACGAGATGCACACGCTTTCATGTGACGATGACTGGAGTCGTCAAATTTTGATGGGATGCTTCAAATACTCTAAATAACAGTGTCACGTATTCACATCATCCTACTTCCGAGCCATTTTCTTGACCGCCATGAACGTCAGCGTAATCGACTCGCGGGTCTTCCGTAACCTCTTCCCTCAGTCGGTACAGCTGCGCGAGGTCCGAATTCTGGCACGATCATCTCTGATTGACCTCATCCAGACTATGAAGTACTTGCTACAAGATACCAACGCGCGTAAGTGTCGATTGTACGCCATGCTTCGYGGAAAGGTCTCTTGACATAATACAGAGCAAGGGCTGACCGACCACATCTTTAGCTCGCACTTCCAATAACATTTGGCTATAAATTTGCAGTCTATCTCTCCGCCTTCTAACGTCAGCTAGACCGCCTCGATCAACTCGAGGCGCAATGCTTGCTAGTCGAGTTTGTTAGTGCGGCCGGCACGCTCGCATCGTTGTAATCAGACGGTGCGAGACCGACCGTTCGCAAGAATCTCGCGCACGAACTTGGACTGGAAGATACAGTGATAGCCGCGGCATGTCGCCAGGGGTCTCATCACGGTACCTTGATGACAATGCCGCAAAATCGCAATCCCATCTCAAGTGAAGTGGCGCTGGCAGCTTCAAAACTTCTCCGATGAAACGCAGGTCTTGCTCCGGACGGCATGGTTTCTGACTCCGGGCGAGCTTCATGGAATCTTGWGTGGGTGACTGTGCCTGATAGCTTTGTTCTTTGCTGCGGAGCTCTGCTTCAGACCAACTTTGCACTGAGTGGACTCGTCCTCAATGAGGAAGCAACGTCTGAGATCTGTGTTCCACCAAGCGTCTGATTGTTGTAGAAGTCGCGATGATGGGTCTGGCATCGTATATCGGGCGTCAGCCTGCTCATGATCTCGTTACAGGGCCTGCACATCTTCCATTGAAACCGGCGAGCCTGTCCTGGATAGACTTCTCGGAGATGAGAAAGTCACAGGGAGCATTTCAAAGGAAGAATCAACCAGTCTCTGCAATCCTACCAACTACATGGTCTGTGCTGCGCATATGTTAGACCAAGTGCTAAGAGACCGTGGTCACACAGTAGCATGATCTCATAGCTGTCAAAAGATACGGTTGCGTCACTCTTGTATGTGTTGAGGCTCAATGGTTGAAGGAGTTCTCAAATCCAAGTTTGGCCTTTTACGGCCCGCAGACTGAGTTTTCTTCAACAAGCATGCCACGGCATCGACAGTATGCATTCGAGTTCTACCGAGCATCTTTGCAGCTGCTCCGTAGCGCCATGGGCCTGTGAGTGTCAAGGTTTCCAGCTTTCCTTGTGGTGAATCGCGACGATGCTCGCGAGCGTGTGGCTGCAAGCACAGAAAGAAGCAGCCTTGCAGAGGGTCGAATGATGTCTTCGTATTCGTGCAACAGCACAAACGGGCGGCCTTGTAGTCACCATGTCGTACCGGACACACCAACCGTTGCGCCGCAGGTTTATTCGTGGCCATGCATGCCATCTCACCCAAACCGCCTCTTCTCTCTTCTCCTCACCCATACATGCTCATCTCCATCCACATCGCCATTCCTCACTTCAACCTCCCACAGCCCTAATTTGTACCCACCTCGATCACTTTGTCCCGTGAACAGGTCAAATGTCCAGCCATGTTTCGGACACGCTATGCCAGCACTGAGCACAATGCCAAAATCTTCAATGTCGTATAAGCTGCCATGGGAGAGCGGGTACGACTGGTGCGGACAGGAGTGGTTCATTGCGTGCATCTTGTCTCGATAGCGGAAAATCAACAATTGTGAATCGAGGGCGCCTGCATGATTCTGAGCTTCTTTGGGCGTGAAGATCTGCGGTTGAGTACTTGGCTCAGTCGAAAGTTGGAGGACCTTGCAGGGTGGTAGGATGTCTGCATCACTGGCCGCCGAGCTGGCGATCTTGGTCTTTTTGGACTTGGTATTGGCGTCGGTGGGTTCGATGTTGGRGAATGACGAGGCTGGACCGGCGTACAGCCAGGGATTAGACGCAGCCATCTTGAAGGTTGCTGCTGTGTTAAAAGTACGACCTCTCGTGGAGAGTGAGATGTGAATGGGTGGTGAGAGGGAAATAAATTCGTCCGTCTTTGCTTACGGGAAGCCCTGGACCATGTCGGCTCAATGGTGAACGACACTCTGTGTGGTTATATCAAGATTGCATAGTTATTGTTCTGATGCCCATGTTGCGATGCCAGAGGTAYATGCAAGTTATGTCATTGTGAATTGGTGAGAGAGAGTTCTCACGGAACGAGGTTCAAGGGCCAAAGTCACTGACGAATCACAACGTGTGCAGGGATGAAGGCGATTGACCCCTTTCCTCCCTCCCGTGCATCGGCATTTGCATTTCTAGCTGACACAAATTCCGTATAAATCGCCATTATGGCAATGCCCCATCCACTTCTCGACGATGTCAGAGATGGCCGGATTAACGCCTCTGGCAAAGTATCGCCATACACGAGACTTCAACAGATTGAAGGAATAGCACAAATTCCACTAGAAGAGCCAGGCTGGCTTTTGAAGGTCGATCTCGAGATACCGGATTTCGACCTGCCTCGCGAAATAAGCAGAACCATTCGTGTACCAAAGGACATAACTTTCCACCAACTTAATGGAATCCTTGTCAGAGCGCTGGGTTGGAGCAGCCTGTACCGTGAGCGTAAAATCTGGGGCAGCGATAAGGACTATCGATTCATTTTGTGGGACGATCAGGTCGAGGTCAGCCTCGAACCAAAAGAGGTCCTGGTAGCTGACCGTGACGTCTACAATCCCGACTGGAAGATCAGCAAGACTCGAAGATTGATGCAAGTGTTCGGTGGAAGCCGTATCTGGCCAGAGGCCCCGAGAAGAATAGACTACGAGTTGCAGTTTGGTGTGAATGCGCCCTTTTGGGTGTATTCCCTTGAATTGCTAGGCGAGACAGATTTGTGTCATAATGATCGGCCTGGCCAGGAGGTTTTCTGTCTAGATGGCGTAGGCTACCCGGAAGCGTCGGACTTGGAGGAAGATGGCCTCGATTTGGTAGAGCTGGAGACACTTCGAGACAGATTTGACGTTGAATTTGTCAATAATCGTCTTGAAGGCTGGTGCAGATCGTGGCGCATGCAGCAACACAAGACGAAACGCTGATACGATTTTTGATGTTGTAATTAGGAAAAGGCGATMTCTTGATATTTTCAAATGTTGGCATGGTATTAGATCTTCCATGTGGAAGACGTGCATTGACTACGTGAATGCGAGCTTTGGTAAATATCCGTGAAGAAAGAAAGCCGAGCACTCGAGCGTTTGATGCTAGGGGATGCAGTCCTTCATGATGCCGCGGAGTTCAAACGGCCGCTCGACACCCATCTACAACGGCAAACAGTGTCCTTCGGCCAGTGGCTCTTATGAGCCCGAATACCCATCCGGAAGCTGAGACCGGACTATTGAATGTCAATCAAGACAATCTGGCGTGCCTGACGTGGACCTGAGTAATACTCCGCTCCGAGTCTAGTAGAGTCCAGGATCATGCTGCCTTCTGTAATCTCCTTTGCCCAAATCGGCCATTCCATATCAGCAATGGCATGTCTAACAGGCTGTGCAGACCGAAGTCGTGCTGAGATGGCGCGTATGACATTTTAGTCTGCAAGTTGGGTCGCAGCTTGAGGCGGCCACGAACGTGTAGTTCGCCTGTAGTCAAACCCAAGTGATCCTCTACTTAGTAGCGATCAAAGAATTAGTTCACGAGGCCACTGAGCCTGGTGCCCACATTCTGCCAACTCTCTCGACTTCTTTTATGAAGCGCGGGCTCTCAATGCTCAAATCTCCCACTTTAGTAGAGAGCTTTGGATCATGCTCATCTGGTGTGTAGAAAGGGTTTCGCAGCAAACGGATATATGCCGTTTGTAGAGCGTGAAAGGCCTAACATAGAAGTTAGCATGTGAAGACCTGGACGCTGGATTATCTGTATAGATGACACATACCGGCTGTAAGTCACTATTCCTCAGYCCGAGCACGGCAGTCCTCGCAGCTTCAGCATTCGGAGCAGTCCGTCCAAGCATGTCTACCGCAATCACCAGTTTGATGCCGGTGTTAAGGAGCCAGCCGTACAAAGCTATACGATCATCCAAAGCATGTAAAAGTCCAAAGTCTACTGAGAGTGGGCCCGAGCTTGCACTCCGTGATTCGAATATGTCGAGTGTCGAGTTGAGCAACATGCTGTACTCCAGGAGGTCTCGTTCCTGGTCGACAGCTGGGAACAGTGAGATGTGGAGCGGGTTGTTCTGGGTCGTATTAGCGATCGTTCGTAGGTCTCTCGGAGTGAGCATACATTGCGGCCTATAACACCAATGGCGGCAATACAGGGCGACCGGTCCATGATGATGGTTGTTGGGAGTGTTTGGGTTACAATGGAGATTCAGTGTTCAATTCGCATATGCGGGTAGGTCGAAAGTTAGACGGGATGGAAGTGAAGCATGAAGCTGTTGCGGCCTTGGTGCCTGAAATGGATGACAACCGGGTCGAACCGATTGGCCCATATTTGTCCTCACGATTCAAAGGAAGCATCACCACCTCTATCCGCCACTTGCACTTGCTCGCGACATCTTCCACGGCCGCATTCCCTCTCCTCTCCTCTCCGCAATCCTGCGACCGACCATACCACTGTTCAGCATGTCTTTTGCACGGACAGCGTTGGCGCTACGGGGAGCCGCCCCTTCCAAGGCACTGCAGCCATTCCGCGCCGCGCGAGTGGCCAATGCCGCATTCATCTCCTCATCCACGAAGAAGCCGGCCAGTGAGGCGGTTCCGGCCCGCGCATATGGTGCTGGAAATGTCACGGGCAACCCTGGCGCGCCGCCACCAATGAAGAAGAGCTCGGTGGAGGTGCCACTACCCAGCCAGGAGGGCAGCAAAGGCGTGGTGGAATACGCACTGTAGGTTGAGCCTCTATGGTGGCGATGTACACGTCCAAAATGCTCATTTTTCCACAGCACAACACTCGATTCCATCGCAAACTGGGCTCGGCAAGGCTCACTTTGGCCCATGACCTTTGGTCTCGCTTGCTGCGCCGTCGAAATGATGCATCTCTCCACCCCACGATATGATCAGGATCGTCTTGGAATCATTTTCCGTGCCTCTCCCCGACAGTCCGATGTCATGATTGTGGCTGGCACCCTTACAAACAAGATGGCCCCCGCYCTACGACAGGTCTACGATCAAATGCCAGATCCCCGTTGGGTCATTTCCATGGGAAGCTGTGCGAACGGAGGCGGCTACTACCACTACTCGTACAGTGTTACAAGAGGATGTGATAGAATTGTGCCAGTCGATATCTATGTGCCTGGATGCCCACCGACCAGCGAGGCATTGATGTACGGCATTTTCCAACTGCAGAAGAAGATGAGGCACACCAAGATCACACGCATGTGGTATAGGAAGTAAACGTGTATTTGCCATCGAGAGAAGAATACTAGCATTGCTGCTCGAGGTCTTCGGCGATTCGTTGGTCCATTTGGCATGGGAAGCGGAAGCAAGAGATGCCCACAAGGGTCGAAGCATCATGGCGTTTTGGCGCAGCAGTCCCTATGTCCATATGTACAAACTGCATTTCGTTCAATCGAACCCCATCGAACAAGCTTGGTCGTCCTATGCGGAGTGAGTATCGGTATGAGCTGCAGCTTCGTACGGACACAAGTTGGGCATTTGCTTTCATTCGTGTCATCACCCACACTCTTTTGCGCCGTAGGAGATTGCTTACACAGCAATTTTCACCCTGGGGCGTGTTAGAGCAACCTAGCTAACATGATCCAGCGCCCCTCTCGGTCAATTTGACCCTCGTCGGAACTGAAATAGATTCGCTTTCGACAAGAAGTCAGCATTATGAAACCCGTCCGGCAGAGGTCCTCGCTGTGCAGCACTGGAAGTCTGAGACATGATGCTCAATCAATCATGCCATAGTGAGAATCGTTTGTTTCATGGAAACTTCTGCGCAATCGATCGATGAAGGATCTCCAAGGGGAGGGTACCCTCGATAGCGCCACGTTCAAGTGTCTTTCATTCAAGCAATGCTTTGGCCAAATACGCGCGTCTGAGACCTGTTCCTACGATCGATCGAGCATGTGGTGGATCAGTAGAAAGCAGAGCAATTAGTGAAAATCCCGGACCCGCGGAGCGCCATGTGGACTGCTATGGATCAAGGCAACCTCGCCCCTGCACAACATCAGGGCATCCGCCCATCCGACGTCGCCATGGGACATTTGGCTTTGATGATTGAGGCGTTGTCCAGGTCCAGGTCTTGATCCTGGTCCTGGTCTTGGCCCTGATCCTAGACGGCTTGGCATGCTTGTACAGAACGTTCAAATGAAGGGAAGAAGCGAAACATGTCACCTGGACTGCTACACTATGTGCYATGGCAAACCTTCACACTTTCCACGAACTTGAAGCCTTCACACGACGGAAAAATCCATGTTATCTGCTTACGTTTGACCTCGCACGCGCAATTGAAGATGGTCCGCGAGTTGACAAATTTAGTTCAAACTTGCATGGGGAGAGTGCACGATGTTGTGATTCTGGCACGTGATCCACAGATGACTAAGGATCAGACGATATAGCCGCATCTTAGATGCAGAGTTTTCACCTGTATGCTAATTAGTGTTATCTGCGTACTTTACCTTAATTTAGTAACAGCTTTATAACAGGTTATAAGCCCGGCGCTACTACGATCCTATCCTTACTAAGAAGTTATTAGTATTAATAATATTAACCCTATACTTACTATTTTAATAGGGGAATCCTAGCGAGCTAAGAGAAGAGCTAGAATTAAAATATAATAGAGCTAGTTAAGATAGTAAAGGAGAATTAGGTACTTAGAAAGGGCACTAACTTCTTAGGCTAGAAGGCAATACTTAGAGGAGTACTAGTAAAAGAGGATGTACTTAGATATATCTTCTATAATCTTCCCTAGGAGCTATTATAACTAGAGCCCTAGAGGATTAACTACCCTAATGCAGCTAATTATCTACTAGTATTAAAGGAGTTTAAGAAGAAGGACATAATTGCCTATAGCATTATCTATAGCCGGCTAGATAAAAAGCTTAGGCCTAATTTCGGAAGCACTAAGAAAATAGTATAGGAGCTGTTTAAAATAATCCTTACTATATATTAACTAGTCGTTACTATAGACATTTATAACACTCTTAGGTAGATTAGGAGCATTAAACTAACGGGTAATAATACCCTAAAGTACTATAAGGACTTCTAAAAGTAGGTATATTAGTATAGGATAGCTACTAAGTAATATGCTAGAGCTAACTGCATTCCTAATATATAGGAGGGACTTATATTCCTACCTTTTATTATAAACATACTGTTTATTATAGGTCTAAACTATATTAAGTAGCTTAGAAGCTAGCGATATATTAATAAACCCTAGCTAGTAATATTAGAGGATATAATTACCTCTCTTAGACGTAAGAAACCCCTAGTATTAAGCTACTAGCCTAATCCTTCCTAGAAACGAGTTGTAGAAGGAGTAATAGCAGATATTAAAGATAATAATAAGAAATGCACTTAGTATAAATACAACTACACTAATGCAGAATATTATAAGTAATACCCTAATAGGGCACTATCGTCCTAGAAAGCTAGAAAGCCTAATAATAATAAGAAGAGGTAGTCCTAGAAGAAAAAATAGTAGAGGAGAGCTAATACTATAGTAGCTTAAGACTTATCTAGGTCCCTATTAGACTTAGATTCTAATAGCTTAATAAGCTGCAGTGTCGCAATAGCTATATCTTTAATAAAGCCTATTAATAGCTACATTAATATATAGGACTCTAGGATAGCATATTACTTCTTTAATAATAAAGTATAATTTAAAGATCTCTACGAGAAAAAGAAACTAGCAGAGTTCTCCTAGGCTATTAGGAAGAACAGAGTTACGTATTTAGGAATAGTAACTCTCTAGCTAAAAGGCCCTAAAGGTCTTAAAATATAGCTAGAACTAAAGGGAGCTTTATACTCCCTAAGCTCTAATATAAACCTTATCTCTATAGAGCGGATCCTAGAGAAGTTTAGCATTATATACAACACTAGGACTAGAACTATCCTAGATAAGGATAATAAGCCTATTAGGAAGCTTTAAAAGCTCTATAGAGTGCTTGTTCTAAAAGATATAAAGATCCTTATCCTAGAGGGCTAATAGCCCCCCCTATTTAGAAAGACTATAGTTAGAAAAACTATAGTAGCAGCTTTTATAAAGCTAAAGGCTAATATAGAGCGTTAGTATTAGAGATTTAGCTATATTAGAGCCTTAATCCTTAACGCTATAAAGCTTAAGGCAA